GTCAACTGTTAACATATATAAGAATTTCCTTATTTTGTTAAATATGTTTAATTTCTTAGTTTTACAAGCCATCAAGAATAATAATTTAATGGGTGATTACTTTAAGCAGAATAATGCTTTCATGTATACATCATAATTATCTATAAAACCTTTTTACAATGAATTTTATGAAAAAGATACAGATACATACATGTCTAGGCATGTATACAAATATATACATAATATATTTACATTAATACATCTAAATATAAACATATGTTTATATTTTATAATGTATGCTAGAAACCGCAAGGATATGCACACATGACATAAATGCAAAAGCTAGCATCTAACCAATACTCATCCACTGCCTTTTGGAATAGAGCATACAATGGAGAAACATTTAAGTCAGGATTCAAAACCTCGTAAAATGGTCATCCCTTGGTCCTGAATTCTTTGGAAGCCAATGCACCACAATTATGCCCCATCCTGGGAGAAAAGTTAAAAATTTGGATGAAACCTTTTGGTGGCATAATAGCAATACTTCATTCACTCTACTACCCAAAAAAATGAAAAAGAAAAAAGAATAAAACCATCCCTACAAGTACATTATATGTATATTTCATAAAATTCACAAGTTAAAAAACTTACAACACCACCCTGTTTTATGAGGTACTCCATGGCACTTAATATCATGGATGCACTACCAGCAAAGTTTAAGCTGACTGTAAGGAATATCCCCATCAACACTGAATGCAAAGGACATATGCTTTTGAAATATTAAATTAAGGATCTGATGATGAACCTTTTTAAAGTCTAGCATTCATTAAGTTAGGAAGTTGTATAACAATGGTACCTGCTGGTGATTTGATCACATTGATTTCCGTTAGAAAGAAATGAACAAGCAGATAGTGAAACAACATTAAAGAAAATTGGAAGAAATGAACTTCATGGTAATTTCCTTCCCCAACAATGAAAATGAAGTAGTCAGTTGATTAACTTCAATCTTTTAAAAATAAAAGGTGTGGGTTTATAATCGTTTCCATAGCCTGTTACAAAGTGTTTTGCATCAATTAAATTGTTGAAAAAATGTGTTCCTGTAACTTACAGCATTTTCAAGTGGATCATTTGCTTCTGCTTCAAGGTATGCCAAAGTTGTTCCAGAATCAATTATGGTTCCTCTATTGCTTGAAGTAACAATAACTGCTAAATCAATGGGCAGAATTTGCCCATTGACAACAATGCTCTGCAGGTACAAATTATAATGATGCCTGAAAATTTTGAGACAAAAAGGAATCAAACCCAATGAAGAACCAGAATTAAAATGAACTAAATTTGAATTTTCTTATGCACATAAACAACAGTAGCAATGAAACTGAAAAAGAGATGACTATCTAAAATAACAAACTTGTCTAACAATGGATGTTTAGCACACAACGATTGCCATCTATGATAGGATACCTCACGTAGAATAAAAGATATACATGCTTTAAGATAAACTGATGTTTAGACAGGAAGAGATGATAATAGCATGTTTTGGGATTTATAGGTGTCCAACAGTGCAAGTGCTTCTCTTGTTCTTTGTTCCTAATATTTTATTGTAAGGGTTTTGAGACATTTGTTTTTCTTTGAACGAGACTATTTTACGAGAGTAAAATCGGGGACTCGATTCTATGTTCAAATTGACACCGGAAGCCAATAAGAGAAAATTAAGGAGCAAAATAAAACGAATTCAAGAAACAAGACGCGGAAGCCAAACGCCATCCTCAATCAAATCCAGAGCTTAAAATCAACCACGGACCAAAAAAAGAAATTGTGTAAGGATTGTAGGCACCCTCGACGGGAAAAATCGACGATCCCACCCTGCAAGATTCGGCGGTGCCTTACCCTGTCACGAGTTCTAAGCTCAATAAGCTCAACTCTCTGGTCCACCAGAAAGGCTTTTTCGAGCTTCAGGTTCTTCGGAAATCCAGAAAACACAACCGCCGGCAAGAAGACGACACCCAAAATCAAAATCAGAAACCCGGCATGGCGAAACGCCGGCATTTCCTTTTGATTTTCTTCTCACCCTCTCTTCTGTCTCACTCCCGACGGCAACCAAAAAAGCAAAAAACAAACGGTCAGAGACGAAGATCTAGGTTTGTGTCTTTCTGTATCACTGAAAGCTCAGAAAGAGAAGAAAAGAGTGTGCGTGAGAGAGAAAGACCAGAAATAAATCCATACAGTTCAGAGACGAAGATCGAAGTTGTAGCTTTCTGTATCACTGAAAGCTCAGAAAGAGAAGAAAAGAATGTGCGTGAGAGAGAAAGCAAGAGACACACCAGAAGCTACCAAAGGTCCCAAGTGAAGAGAAAGCGAGACACAACAACAGAGGCTACCCCAATGACGTTCCAAAACACCACGACAACGGCCACCAATCCGTTACTTTGTAAATATATATGTTTTCTTCCTTACTTCCACGTTCTAATCTCTAAATTACGATGAGTGCGTACAATGCACTCCCCACACTGATTTCGGGTCTGAATGGTAACAGGCCGTGGCCCCTAGTTCACTGGCCCAGATGACCTTGCGTATCCTTTCTATCCAATTTCTAAGATACACGGAATCATTCCTTTCTGCGAATCCAACGGTTGATAATATCATGCTCAAATGATGGTTCTCACCACGCACGGCCGCACGAGGCTCTTTACGTGTAACTGTAAAAAGTTAGCAAGACCTTGATTCTTGAAAGAAAATTCATGCGGGTTTTTTCTAGAAGTTTCCAAACAAGAAATCCCCCAAAGTAACTTTATGAATTAATAAGACAGAAATAATAAAATTCTTGCTAAATGAAACCCGTTTTGGTAAGAACGATAAAAAATAGATCAAAAGTTTTTTAAGGGATAATTGACTGCACTCCACTTCAAAATTCAAAATTCAAATGGACACTTATTTAGAGGTGGACTGAACATTTATTAAAATCAAAGTCATTACAGATAAAATAAACCACGAATGACAAAATAGGGGGTAAAGTGAAAAGCTTATTTTCATTTGACAAAAAAAATCACAAAATCACTTCCAACATGAAAAAAAATGGTTAAAAAGGAATACGAAAAAAAAAATGTAAAGAACCAATGGTTTCTCCTTGCAGCGACAGCGAGAGAAATTTTTTGAAATGGGTGCAATGGAGCTGTATGGGTTTATAATATATGATCCGTTTGTTTTCAATAAAATACTATTAGGTTTAAGTTTGAGTTTGAATTCAATTGAAAGCTTGAATATGAATATACTTTTATATTTCATAAATATACATATGATATATTTCTTTATAAATATAGTATTTTTTATATTATATGTAGAATATAAAAATATTGATATGTATCGGCCTATATTAGTTGATATGTATCGTGTAAGGCTCAAAGTACTGATACATATCGGCCCATATTGACTGATATATATCATGTCGATGGCTTCCTGATACGTCCCTCTAGGGGTTGTATCGAATCAGCCACTAGTTCAAAGGGTAGCCGGGCCTTAAACCGACCCCTTTGACCGGTTTTAAAAAAAGTAAGACAAAAAAAAAAAAAACTATCGATACAGCCCGATACGCCTCTACCAGTATATCGAGCATATTGATATTTTGAACCTTGAGTATATGTATATATGTATTAATCAAGTCAAGCTTGCGAGCTTTTAAGCTGGATTTTTTATTGGTCTAACTCAAATTAGGATAACTAATCAAACTTACCTTGAGATTCAAACTCAATTAGAATTTAATATAAATATATATGATATCTTTTTTATAAATATATAGTATATTCTTATATTATATATAGAATAAAAATATATTGTTATAACATATATTATTAAATATATTTTTATATTCTATAGTATATATATATATATATGTATGTATGTATTAATCGAATCAAACTTGCAAGCTTTTAAGCTGAATCTTTCATTGGTCGAACTCAAATTCGAATAATTAATCAAGCTTACCTTAAGATTCTAACTCAGTCAGAATTGAATTCAAATCAATTCTAATCGAACTTAAACCCAAGCTATTCTATTAGGGCTGTGTTTGATTTCAGCCCTTCTCTTACTTATGGAGTGGTGAGGCTTTTCGGGATTATTTGGCAATATAAAATAGAATTTTTACCCCTTTCGAAAGCTTAAGGATGAAAAGGAGGTTTGCAATCGCTAATGGCATCCACCCAATTGTGGGATTTGGTTTGCAAGAGTTCCCTTCTTTGTTTAATCTCTTATAATTCTCAAGTTCTTTTTTTTTTACTTTGAAATTATTTTTAATATAAAATTTTATTATAAAAATATAACGAGCCATTTAATCTCTCCACATATGTGAGCCAGAGTGCCCATGCTATGTATGATGTGTTCCCATATGATTCAAAGTGTAACCCACAGCACACACCAAATGACACTCTCAACCACTCAATATTTAAAGTTTAAGATTTCAAATAGAGTTGATTTAGAATTTCTTTTTTTTTGTTAACCAATAATTTATTAATCTAAATATATAATATCTTAATATTTTCCATTTATTTTATTGTCGTGTGCATAATAGTAGGTAATACCTGCCACTATTTTCTTATAAACTAAATCAGCTTTCCGCACACGAACTTGCCAATGGGATAGCACAAAATATCTTCTTGAATTGGGGAGGAGATATTCCCAATAAGAGTGTTCATGGGCCAGGTAGACCGACGGCCGGTCCACACCCCGATCGGGCTTGGACATGTAGTTAGGCCGGTGGGCCTGACATCAGGCCCAAAACACCAAGCCCGATTGTGTTTCGGGGCGAGTTCGGGATTTGTCAAAAAATCCCCCAGCCCGGCCCGACTAATTTATATAATATAAAATATATAACATTTATTATATAATATATATATATATATATATGTATTAATATTTAATATATACATTTTCTATTTTTTCTTTATAATCACTCTCTCTCTCTCTCTATTCAACTGCTTCAGTGATAGCAATGACATGAGCTTTAGACTTTGGGCTCGGGCCCAAGCCCGAACTTTAGATTTTTTATGAAGGCCGGGCTCGGGCTCAGGCCTTAAAAATTTTGTTAGTGAAAAGTGAAAGTCCAGCCTAACCCGACCCATGAACAGGTCTATTCCCAATACAAGGTTGGAAGAGGCTGTTTGAATGGTGTGAGCACGGGCTTGCACTAATCGAAGGCGAACTCCCATCTTGCACATTTCTTACAACCTAATTAATTACTTTTCCTCGATGTTTTAAAAACCAACTCAGAATTAGAACCGTTATGGCCACCGGTTTATGGGTTAACAGTTTAATCATCCGATTCAAATGGGTGGCCCATTTGAATTTAAATTTAATCATCCCATCTTGGCAAAAAATTAAATTTAAAAAATAATTAAAATAAAAAGCCAAAACCATTGAATAAATCAATTGCATGGGTCAATGGATTTTTGGACAAAGATCAAAACCAATTCAAAAATTATTGGCCAGAGATCAAATTTAGAATAAAATAAAACTGATTGCCAGACGGTTCTCAGTGCAAACGGTCAGAATGTATGGGTAAACGGGGGTTCGAAAACATTACTTTACCTTCACACTGTTGAGGCTGCATAATGAACATGGAGATGGGTTACTCTGAGTTGAGGCCTTATTCCTTTACAAATTTGTAACTTTGCACCTAGCTACTAAAATGTTTCGTGATTAACATTTATATGCACGTATTCGATATTATAATTTGTAATTCTGAAACACTTACATTCCTCTTCTTTGCCCAATGTTGATGGCAGCGAGATTTGATATCGGGTCTATGCTACGGTGGAACAAAGATTCTACCAATTAAGCACACCATTAGTAGACCTGTTCATGGGCCGGGCCGGGCTTTTATTCTTTATAAACATGATTTTGTTAGGACCGAGCCCAAGCTCGGCCCGACCAACGGGCCTACAATATGGGCCCAGCCCCGAGCCCGAGCCTGAAGCCCTACCTAACAGAAGAAAGAACTCACCGTCGATGACTATGTTCGCCAGTGCTGAGTTCGCGTCTGTGAGAGAGAGAGAGAGGATTCATTGCCGCCGCTGATGCCTATGTTTGCCACCTCGTCGGTGCTTGAGTTCACGTATGAGATTCTGAGAGAGAGAGAGAGGATTCATTGCCGCCGCTGATGCTTGTGTTTGCCACCCCGCTGGTGCTTGAGTTCACGTATGAGATTCAGAGAGAGAGATGACTCACCACTGCTGCCGGTGCTTGTGTTCGCCACCTCGTTGGTGCCCGAATTCACGTCTAAGATTCTGGCTTTCTAGAAGTGAGAAGAGGAACGAGAGAGAGAGAGAGAGAACTCACTGCTGGTCCGCCAGAGTTCGCTGGTTGCATCGGTGACTATTTGCTGGTTCTGTCTACCCAAGAGGTTCGGCTAAAAAGAGATGAATGAGAAGAGAGGGGTTAGGAACTTAGGATAATTAGGGTTACCTAAAAGTCGGGCCGGGCCGTCGGAATACCCGGCCCATGAACAGGTCCATAAGGTGTTGCCCGCCAAAAGGTACATGTCTCACATTGCTTGCTTAACCAAAAAAGGAAAAACTATCCGGAGTGATCTGACATGACTAAGGAATGGTCCAAACAGGACAAAATAGGGATCGAGGAAAAAGAAAAAAATGGGTCAAAATGCAACTGCTGATCGGCAAATCAAGTGAAACGGCTGAAGCCTCTCCTTTCTTTGGTTAGGTAGGAACGTCTTTGATCTACCTAAGATTCAAGGTTCCGAGCCCGAATCAATTGAACGAAAAGGCTGGGCTTCTGTCTCTGATAATCTTTTCTTCGGCCAATAACAGCCGGTGAAGGTTTCTGTAATCTTCGATTCCTGCGTTGTTTTTGATTGTAGACTAAAATCACGACTTATACATCTCACCTACTGAGTCAATCCAAGAAGGTACTAACATCCTTCAATTCATTTATTTCTTCTTATTTATTGTGATTTATTGCGTGTTCATTTTCTTTTTTCTTTTTAAATTATTGATGTGGAGATATTACTTCTCTGTTAACTTTGAGCTCGAACTGTGTAATTCAATTAATTTGTTTTTTCTTATTTCTTGTGATTTCTTGCATGTTCATTTTTTTTTTATTATTGATGTAGAGATATTACTTCTCTGATAACTTTGAGCTCGAACTGTGTAATTCAATGAGAATGCTTTCACCCAGAAACCATTTAAGTTATGAGCCGTACTATGATACTCTCTTCATGCCGTGTCTAATCCAGAGTACGAGTAGTGCCGGAACCCGATTCGCGACACACAAGGATCCTTTTGTTTAGTTGTATTACTTGCCTCCAAGTAGTGCCTGAATAATGTGTTTTCAACTTTACCTGATTGATTTGATAATTTCCACCGCGGATGCATTTTTAGGTTAGGACTTAGGAGCACTGATGCACTTAGCTACTTACTAACTCGGAGWAGTCAAGCACTGAGCAGCACTTCTGAAAGGGGATAACAAAAAAGTTAACCCGGTACATCTAACCATCTGAAACATTCTTTTTCCCCCTGATTTTTGAACTTTTTATTATCTCCAACATCAAGTTTTAGCTCGATGTCGGATGTTAAAGGTTGCTTTATCAGTTTGTTTCAAGCTATGCCATTATGCAAGGAATGAGGTAGGAGTTACCATATAGTATAATTTATACGGTTACCTTTTTTTTTTTTTTTCTTTTCCTCAAACAACAATAAATGAAAGTCTATCGATAATCAGAATACCATTTATGTAGTATTGGAATATAGGAACTCATTCTTGATGGTCTTTTCCAGCATTGTATCCATTGTCCATATTCTAACATCGTGAATGTTGCCTACCAACGACTTTTGATTGATTAAAATTGCCTACTTACTGAATAAAACATAGAGGGAGATCAAAAGATACACAAGTTGTTATCATTTCCAAAGCCCTGGCTCATAGAGGGAGATGCACAATATTTTACAGGTTGGATTATGGATTGGGGCAGATTTAGTTGAACTGGAGAATAGAGTTGTCAAAATCTTTCGATTTATTATACAATCTATGAGTTGAATAGTGAATCCTAAGGATTTCAATTTGAATCTTAACTTTGAGTTCGTTTCTYAGAAAACTTTTACTATTATTGATTGAATCTTAAATATATACAACTAATGTGTTTTAAATCACTTTAATTGAGGAGTGGTTCTCTATTTTGTCATTTCCTTGTTTTTTGTATTTTTTCAAGGACACTTGTTTTAAAATCCTTMCTAGTTTTAAGATTTTTTTAGATTATTCAGTACCTGTTTAGAAACCTTGGTGAGTTTACTTTCCATCATACGTGGTTAAAGAGCCATTTTATGTGGGTTAATTGACTTTAAGGTTAAACTTCAATTATTTCATCTTAATGCTTCTAGTGCATAAGCAGTAAACTCCATTGTATTAACTATAAAGTACATATATGGTACATATTTAGGTTTCAGCACACATGTTCTTAATTTTTTATAGATTTCCAAAATACACAAACGATCTTACAGTTTATGATAAAATTCATGATTTGATTTGGCTAGATTGAATTTTCCTTATGATTTATGATTATGATACGATTATAATTTTTTTTATGAAAGTAATAAAATTATAATTTTTTGATCCTTAACCATCAAAGTGCATTATCAAAATATTTTGAAAGAATGTAATACAATAAGTATGCCCAGCACCCATTTGACTGCAAGCGGTTTTTTTTCCAAGTTGTGGGAGCTAATACTTACATCTTTTAATCGGTAACAATTACAGTGCTTTGTTAAAATTTTTAGAAACAATGTAGTGCAGTAAGCCAGTAAGTATGCCCAGCACCCCTTTTAGTTGCTGATGGGCCATGCTTGGTTGGGCTGGGCTTAGCACCTATAATAAGGGTTATATCCCAGGCTCAAGCATGTCCTGACCTGAATTGGGCTTTGGGCCTATGACTTTAAATACATTATGTTTAGTATATATAATATTTTTAATCCAAGCTAGAAATGATCACCCATAAGCTAGCCCCATTATTACAAAATTACAGAACTCCTTGGAGTATCAAGCCTCAATACAAATGACTTCTTGTTGCTCCCTGTTTTGCCAGTCCATCAGCCAAAAAGTTGGCTGGCCTTGGAGTCCACCTATGAACAAATTGTAGCTGTTCAACAAACTTGTTGTTTTTCCTCATAATATGCCTATTTTTTTCACAAACCTACTCTATTTCTTCAACCAACTTGTACTTACATAATTACATTTTGTTACATTTATTGATCAAAATACATTTTTTTACATTTAATTTTATACATTAATACATTACACTCGTTGATGTAGATCAGGAAAAAAAAGAAGAGTTAAGAAATCCATCAGCCATAAAAGTGCCAGTATAGTTATTGTAGTTTACAAGGAATCCAACTTTCTTAGTTTGACAGCTTTAATTTCAAATTTTGTATTCAAATGTTCTTCTTGTTTCATTTCCCAAAAAGTTTGAGCTTTGACTTCCTAAAATGTAAATTGATAAAATTGGTATTCACATAGTTACATCCATCATACAATTTTTTGTTCATGTTTTAAGCTTTACCAATTTCAAAAACATTGTCTAAAAGAGCATGTATTTGCTCATTGCTTGTCTGATGGGAATATAAGTATGATAAGTTGGTAATTTTAGGAATGACTTGGATTTCCCCTTTGATGGTCCATTTAGAAGGAGAGAAATGGTTGCATTTTGAGGACTTCCAGTATATTAGATTTGTTTAAGGGACCATTGGTCGAGGTTCCTCTTGGACCTCTTTTATAATATACTAATAAGCAGTCCTTTTAATAATTTTTAAGGGTTGTCCCTATTTTGTTTACCATATTTCCTTTTTCTGGCCATTAATATTTGGCACTTGGTCCACTTTTTTGCATTCAGAAAATTTTCTAGTATGTTTCTTTAACTACTTAATTCATCCTTATTAGTTCTTGGTATATCTTTGCCATTCTTCTTATTTTTAACTATGCTCTGTATTATTACATTTTGGAATGACTTTATATGCTTTATGTGTTTTACAGTTGAGGATTGCTCCAAATATATTCCGAACTGACTCTACCATTCTGGTCCGTCGGTTCTCAAAAGCTGCTTGCCCCTCCATCAATAAAGGAGATGGTAAGTAGTTGGTTTAGTTTTAATGAGGTCTAATATTTATTTGTCAACCTAGCAAAGGAGCAAGCCTCATGATGGTCATTAAGTGTTGCATACTATTTTCTTTGTCCGTTGGTATCAATTTTCACATGCTAGTTGATAGATTTATCCATGTGCACTTAAAAAATGAAAGATTATTCTGAAACTATCTATACTTGATTATTGGATAAGTAATTATCTTGTCTTACATTTGAAGTTTCTAAGATCAGGGTATGACACATAATTCTAAGGGTTTCGTTTTCTATCCTTTGATTAAATGACCTAAGGGCTAACACTCAGAAATATAGAAAGGAGACAATTTCTTTTCTAATTTGGCCACAATTGGGCTCAATAACTTTTCTTGTTTTCAGAAGTAAAGAAAGGTTCTGAACCCTAAGTCCTAAAATTTTGGGGCCGAGTGACGGTTTCTTTCTTTGTGCTTGGGTTACTAATCCGGGTGATGTAAACTTCGTCACCGGTACCAGATTGATGAAAAATTAGTCTTATTTGGCCTCATATGGGTTCTGTAAATTTTCTTGGTTTTTAGAAACCAAGAAAGGTTCTCAACCCTAAACCCAAGATCTAAGAGACATGTGACAATTTCTTTTTACTCATTTGGGTTTTTAGTCCATATGATGCATAACTTGACACTAATGGCGAAGGTGACAATTTTTTTTTTCTAATTTGGTCACATTTTGGTTCAATAACTTTTTTTGGTTTTCAGAAACCGAGAAAGGTTCTGAACCTTAAATTGTAAGATGTAGGGGCCAAGTGACCGTTTCATTCTTTGTGCTTGGGTTACTAATCTGGGTGATTTAAACGTGGACACCGATGGCCAGATTGATGAAAAATTTGCGTAACTTGGCCTCATATTGATTCCGTAAACTTTCTTGGTTTTCAGAAACCCAAAAAGGTTCTCAGACCTAACCATAAAATCTAGGGGACAAGTGATAACAATTTCTCTCTACTCGTTTGGGTTAATAATCCATATGATGCATACACTACAGGAAAATTGACAAATAGCGGCAGTTTTAGAAGGGGCTAAATGTCGATTGCTGGTAGAATAAGACACTCTAGCGGCAATTATTTAAAACCACTGCTAAAAACATTAGGGCCAGCTGCTGAAGTCGAGGAGGCGCGAAAGATGAATTAGAGCCTCCTTTCCTCCCAAAGCACATTTCTCCTCTTCCCGCCCTCTTTGTGTCTCCTTCTCCCTCTCTTTATCTCAACCTTCTCACCACCAGACAACACCTCTCTCTCTCTCTCCCTTCCCACCACCGAGACACCTAACCAACGATGTCAGCATCAACAGGTGAGTTGCGCTTTCTCTCTCTTTCTCTCTTCCTCTCTTCCTCTCACTCTTCTGTGTGTGTTATGGATTTTCCCTAACCGTTTTATTTTTTCCCTCCACCGGACAGCACCAACCGGCAACATCAGACGTTAGCGATGTGGATTCTCACCACTGGACAACACCTCTCTCCCTCTCTCCCTCTCTCCCTTCCCACCACCGAGACACCTAACCAACCATGTATGCGTCAATAGGAACTGCACTATCTTTCTCTCTCTCTCTCTCTCCACCAGGACACCTAACCAACGATGTCTACATCAAGAGGTGAACTGAGCTTTTTCTCTCCCTCTCACTCTTTTGTATGTGTTATGGTATGGATTTGCCCCAACCGTTCTATTTTTGCCCTTCACCGAACAGCACCAACCGACAACATTAGACCAGCAACATCAGACGTTAGTGATGTGGATTCCGACTAAGGCTACCCTAATCACCTCTTAACCATCCATACAACATATAAAGGCAGATGGTTGGGTACAAGGCAATGTTCGTAAGGTTTTCATTTGCTTGTTCTGTGATGATGGTTTTCAATTCCTTTCCCATTTGGAAGTTAGGTAATCTAGCCATTAGCCATTGCAAACAGTTTCTTATTTCAAACAAGCAAAGAGATATGCGTGAAAATCAGGGCATCACTTTGAAAAAGATTAAAGGTGTATGTGTGAATATGTTGTGAAAATCTACGTAAATATTGAAGGTGTGCTTAGTTTGATAGATGAATAAGTTAGAAATAGAAAGTTGAGGGATATTTCAGAACGAATTTCACATAATTTGTTGGCAATTTTCCCTCAGAACTTGTGGTACTTTTGTGCCAAACCAAACATGGACTAAAAGCACTTTGATAACACAAATTTTAGAGCTCAACTTGCCATGAATAAGATTTTGGAATTGTTAGAATGCTCGAGTCAGGGGTATTTTSGTCATTCTGGTTTATCTTCTTGAAAGTGAAAGGTCTATTGTATCTGAGTTTAAGTTATGTGTCCCATCTTCTATGAGGGACAAAATAGTCTTTCTTGTAACTCTAAGTTTTTTGAATAAATTCAAGTGGGTCGGCTAGGAGAGGTGATTTTACATTCTCTCTTCTAGTCTGGCCGAATACTCTTCTTCTTCTTTCTCTTTTCTTTCTTCTTTCTTCTTCTCTACTTTGACCTAGAATCAACTAGGGTTTACTAACATGGTATCAGAGCCAGGTTTCGTATTCTTTCTTCTTGCTGCTGTCTTCTTCCTGGGTTCGCCGCCAGCTTCACAGTAGTTTTCATCCTTCAGCTGACCTGATTGGAGATTTGATAAAGGGCTGAAAAAGGAGTTGTCGTTTTGAAGGCCTGGAGGTGAGAATGCCTCTGCCCGGTGCTGTGGTAGTCGTTGAAGTGGTACACTAGACCCTCTATTCAGTGTACGAAGAGGGCTGAACGTAGACAGGTATGAACACTGTTGTCGTGTGCTCAAATAATGG